TTTCACAATTTGTATTTTTTAGGAGTTTTCTGTTAGCCAAGTTTGCCACAAGTGCCTCAAGGAAAAGATACCCCCCTACCCCAAATCTAGCCATACCCTCTCCTCCTGCAGGTTATACAGGTTTTATATCAATCGACCAATATCACAAAAGTGCAATGCATATTGTGCGTGTGGACTGTGCAAATTGTGGAAAGAAATCATTTAATTTTAGTTTGTGTCACATCACCCCACCGCTCGGCAAATTTGCGCGTCTAACGGATCCACGTGCAAACACACACACACCCACACACATAAAGAGTAGTTGATAGATTAGGAAATTGATTGTGTGTGTACTGTACTGTTACATGTACTGTTATGTATGCATGTGTAACCTGTACGGACAATAGGAATACGTAGTCTAAACTGTAAGTTATGAGTACTCCAAGATTGTCCATGTCGCACCACCCCAACCCACGCCCACAAATAACACCCAACTACAATTCCCAGTCCCGCCATAAGGTCGGAGTGCAAAAAGAGAACTTCTATGGCGTTCCCCACTTCGACCGCTTGACTGGGGAGTGGATTACTAGACAACTAGACGTGTATTTTTGTGTAACAATCAAATATATATAAGCAAAGATTTCGATGTATGTATGTACAATATCTATCCAGAGATCACTATAGCATAACACACATATTTTCAATTGTTATCGAACGCAGAATTTCTGTCACAGAAATCTGCGACTCATTCGTTTTGTTTTTTTCTTGGTTTTTTTTTAAATTTAGATTACGGTAAGGCTGCAAAACGACACTTTGATGCAGTGGAATGTTCTTTCCAGAGAGAGGCATTTTATGAACAATTTGACACACATAAACATTTATTTTTGAAACAATTTGCTGATTCGCTGACTTATGAAAAAATCCCTAGCAGGCAGAGGTACATTTCGTTTGCAATCAATCACGTTACTGTTAAGCATAAGAAATAAAATAATTCAAATAAATAATTATACGTATGGGCAACAGATATTGCCGACAAGCAAACATTTTCGACTAATAAAGAATATAAATCATAAATGCCAACAGTTTTCTTCACGAGAAAACATTCAAATTGGGCGCGTGGTGCCAGTGTTCCCTGCTGACTCTACTCTTCGATATCAGCCATCTATGAAATCGATAGGCGAGTCACTTGCGATGTCTTTCCAGCCCTAGCACAGATGTTTTTGTTTTGTAATTTTGAGGTTGAGGTTGGTTTCAGCGGTGATTTTTTCTTAAAATTCAATATTAATTGAATTGGATCCTTTTTAGCTGTGTAACTACGTTGTTTCTGCACCCCACAACGCAGTAGCCTATTGCCCGGAACTTAAACGGTCGCCGCTTAACCCACAACTTATAGAATATAGAGGGAGTCGCATAACTACGATAACAGCGCAAACCCACCGCAGATCCACAAAAAAGCATTTCTAACATGGGTTTTCCGGACAAGGCAGAGCGAACCAAGTGCTGGAACACGCGCGACGATTACTGGAAGTGCTTGGACTCAAACGCGCCCAAGCACAGCTCTACGAGCGGCGAAAAGGTGCCGAACGCTTGCAAAGATTTGCGCAAGGCCTTTGAGTCGTCCTGCCCCGGCCAGTGGGTGAAACACTTTGACCGCAAACGCACATACGAGCAGTTCAAGGAAAAGATGGCAAGCGGCTACGATCCACTGGATGAGCGTTCCAATGGCGAGAAGCCAGCGAAATAAAAGCCGGCACCGGTATTGGTCGGGTCTGAGTCAGTCGGACGGTCGGTTGTTACGCTATGTTTTTGTATCGTTATAGTATAGTATAAATTAAAAAAAAAGAATCTACTTCTACCATGGATAAGTCTATGCGGGATGGTTCAACTATTTGCATATTTAATTTGAATTACATTTCTAAATCCAAAGCAAAACGGCAGCGGCAGTGTGTGCACACCCATTGCATTTGGCTCGAGTTGAAATGTCCTAAAAATGCCAAAAGCCAATCTGATTAAGAATTCTTTCTTAATCGGATAAAATTATAGTTTTAGTGTTAAGAGCTCTAGCTATCTGGTAGGGTTCACCACAAATTCCCTGACCGTTTAGACACAGGAGAGAATTTCCCTGACCATCAGAAGCGCGCGCAGCTAGCAATATTTTTAGCTTGCGAAGATATTTTATTACCCGAAGATGTACAATTTTAGTTTGTTTTGCAACTTGTAGAGACAGATGAGAGAGACGGAGAAGCTTATTCAACTCAAAATAGTGTAGTTATAAAGAAAAGTAATGTTTTATAATTGAAGTACGGAAAGAAATTCTTAGATGGAACTAAAAAATGAATTCGGAATACTAAGAGTAATCGCTGACCTAATCCGAATTTTAAAGTTTATTTCAACCAATCAAAATCATTATTTTGCGTGTAATTTACCTTGCAGCTCTAGAATTGTGTGACTTTTTAGCTGATGTAGATATCAATTTCGCAGCGTGAAAGCTCTCTTATTTCCTGAAGATAAATTCAAATACAAATTTGTAAAGTATAAGGTTAAATAGATTCTTCAATCGGATTAAATTATTTTGTCAGTGCTAAAAGTCCTTGCAAGCTATCAAATAGAAAATCAAAATCGAGTTTTTTATTTATTTATTTTTAGGTATTTAATTGCTGCCGCGAAATTGGATGGTCGCACGACGATGAGTCCGTATTGACCAGGTAGTTTAGTTCGATTATGGGGCTGTCGATATTTTGGAGGAGTTTTATCGCTAACCAAATAGTATATACTACCAAATATACCAAATATACTATTTGGGTAGTGGTTTTATTTAAGCCTACAGTATAGTTTCGGTATATTTATAAAATGAGAAGATACATTGAAGTATATTTTTGAGGGTCCGATCGTGCATTTTTTAGATAATTCCGCGGTCACACTGTTCGGTGTAGCGATTAAATACAAAAAAATTTTCTTTTTTGTTGAAATTGCACTGCCAAAGAGAGACGAGACATCATGACTGATAAGGGCAAGCTGTCTGTGGCTGTGGTCTGTTCCTCCAACATGAATCGCTCCATGGAGGCGCACAATTTTCTGGCCAAGAAGGGTTTCAACGTGAAGTCCTACGGCACCGGCGAGCGCGTCAAGCTGCCCGGCATGGCCTTTGATAAGCCGAATGTTTACGAGTTCGGCACCAGCTACGAGGACATACACCGCGACCTGGAGTCTAAGGACAAGGAGTTGTAAGTTGAATGCACAATTTGGTTACATTGACTACATTTCATTTGCTTCTCGCCCTGCAGTTACACACAAAACGGTCTGCTGCACATGCTGGACCGCAATCGCCGACTCAAGAGGGCCCCGGAAAGATTTCAGGAAACCAAAGAAAAGTTTGATATTATTGTTACGGTGGAGGAGCGTGTCTACGACTTGGTGGTGCTGCACATGGAATCCATGGATTCAGTCTACAATCGACCCGTTCACGTGCTGAACGTCGACGTGGTGGACAATGCCGAGGATGCATTGATGGGGGCATTTCTGATAACAGATATGATTAATTTAGTATGAATATGATAATTGACACGAGTCTGAAGCATTTATTGATCTGAATAACTTCACTTTCAGCTGGCCAAATCAAACGATCTCGATAATGATATTGATGAAATGATACAGGAATTTGAAGAGCGTCGCAACCGAGTGATCCTGCACTCGGTTCTCTTTTACTGACGACCGACATTCATCAATGGTACTTGTATTTTTCCTATCCATCACCTGCGCTTTAGCTACAGATACTACAGTCCTTTCGTGAGAACGGGAATTAGGAGGGAGCAGCAGCATACCAACTTTAATAACGGGAGCCATAAGAACTGTACATAGAATGAGCTTTAGATTATTTAAACAACAATTTGACAGATACGATACACACATACACACTCCACACGCAGAGACACAGACATACAGCCTCCCCTCCCCCATGCATCATTTGACACCGTTGTTAGTTGTTTTAAGCACTCTCATCAAGCATGCGATTCGCCCCCATAGATGCATCCACATGTGTGTATTAAAAGTAACATCTGGAGGGTTATCTGCTTGTATACTTTACGTTTATGTCAATGTGTTTGATTGTGTGAGCGTCCGACTCTTTTTTTTAAAACCCATAAGGAGTACCATTCCTGGTACTTCAACAATTATAGCTACTTTTATCTTTTACGTATCATTTTTTGCCGATGTTCCCCACCTGGCAGCTCTGGCTGGGTAACGATCTGGCTCCCCCTTTTCTACACAAATACATCGGACACACAACATGCATACACTCACCCATACACATCCCTTCTGACGATTCTCGTACCATGAATGCTTGTGTATGAGTATGCACAACAGAGAACCGGCAACTGGCCGAGTAGACCAGGAGCGGATTCAGCCCTCAAGGGTGGGGGGACCATAGCTTTTTATACCCGGTACTCGAAGAGTAAATAGGGTATATTGTATTTGTGCACAAAGTGAATGTATGTAACGCACAGAAGGAAACGTTTCCGACCCCATAAACTATATATATTCTTCATCAGCATCAATAGCCGAGTAGATTGAGTCATGTCTGTCTGTCCGTCCGTCTGTCCGTCCGCCATTCCGTAGGGAATGACCATATATATCAGATCACCGAACTGGGATCCGATTATAGCCAGACTGAAGAAATTAATATGCAGTGGCTAAACCCACCCAATTTGTTTATATTTTATATAAATATTTTATTTATTTATTTACTTTTTTTTTCACATTCTCTCATTCACACTGTGCTTCTGCTGCCACTGCCTCTGGGGAGAGTCTGCAGTCTAGGTGTGTGTGTAGATGTAGTAGTGAGTGCCGGGTATAAAAGTTGTGCCGCGTGAGAAGCGTCTCACAGGTCCCTTCTCCTTTATTTCAAGAAATTAAAAACTAATTAAAATTTACTCACCTAATCGTCATCTGTACACAGTTGGCAGTAAACCATTGTAGACTGGCTGTTAGTTTCAAACAATCGCCGAAGCCCCAGTCCCGCAGTGAGTACACTGGGCGGAAACAATCAGGCAAAATAATAAAATTATTAAAAAATCTGTACACGTAATAAATTATTATAAAAACCAACCACATTCTGTTTTTGCTCTTAAATGCTATCAACAAGAAGGTAAGCAAAAGCAACGGTAAATAAAAACCAAGATAACAGCATTTTAATAGCCCCCTCGCCACGTTAGTTGGATCCGCTCCTGGTGTCGATCACTGGTTTGTCAGTTTACAAAGCTGCCTGGTTGTTGTTGCGCTGCCATGGGCACTGCCGCCGACGCTTCATGCACGCTTTGTGCGCTCGACCTGGCGCAGTCAGGGTACGATCGCGCGCTTGGCTCCATTACTTTTTCAGGGCTCCGCTCCGCGCACAAAAATAAAGTTAATCCAAACACAAAACATTACGCATCGTTTTCACAACAAACAAAAACCAAATACTCGATAAAAAAACTCTGCCATAACGCGGCAATTTCTTGGCATTGTTTTAGGGGATTTTATCCAAGTGTTGATTGCTGGAACAATAACCAATCCAATCCCGAAACCTTAAGCAATTTTATAGCCAAATAAACAACACAAAAAAGTTATTCAAAGCCCGCTTGTGTTTAGTACGCAATTTTTGTTTGTTTTGTTTTGTTGTTTGATTTCCAGTTAACGGCACAGCGAATTAAAAATGGCAACGCTTAAAGAGGGTAAGTGCAAGACAGTGTGCGCGGTACGTGGTGTGTGGTTGCATGCGTGCGCATACTTAATGCGATCACTGTGAAGTGAATGATCGCACATCAGGTGAATGGATGGGACGGTTGGCTGAAGTCGTGCGCGCGCGCCCTTCAAATGTGTGTTCTTTTGCCTCTAGGGTCACCTACAAAATATAACGGACGGTTGTCTTATCACAAGAAAACGAAACGGTGCTGCTCTGGCTTCCCGGTTGCTCTCACTCTTAAATTATCTACCAATGACGTCCAGCTGTAGCTGCTTCTTGGGCACGGACACTCACTCACTCTCAAGATTAGAAAAGACCCCCCTCGCTGGCAATAACCTTTCGAATTAAAAGTTTAAAGAAACTCCCCCAGAGGTCTAATTCAGCTGCACTCTCTTTGCCCTCTCGCATACACTCTTTTTGATTATACTACTCTACTCTCTTCTGTTAAAATCCACTCTCTTTGCACTCTTCTGTGGTAATGACATTGAAACATGTGCACGCAAATAATTAGCACACACATATGCATACTCGTATGCGTGCTATTTGTGTGTGTGTGTGAGGGGGTCTTACAAAAAGCCTTTTGAAAAACATGTTTTAATTTATACACAAATTATCTCATGTCCATTTTACCTTGTTCTCCATCTCCAGCTCCCGCTCCCTCATCCTCTCCTTCTCTTTTTCCCCTCTCCCTCCTATGGTCTGTGTCAATGTCAAATTCGCGACTTTGCTTTCGGATACGTTTCCAATGAAGATTGAAAGTTAGATTCACGATATATCGGTCAAACAAAGGTGATTTACAATCCATTATGTACATATGTACATGTGTACAAACAAAAATATACGTCAACTCATACTTCTGATTCATAGCCCGCCCTCTGATCCAATCAGGTGGTGTTGGGCAATGTCATTGTTACTTTACTCCGTTACTTGATTGAAATCCTTCTGCTTTGGTAGAATATAACTGATCAGAGAAGGGAAGATCTAAGCTTGTTCGGAGACTTACGCTTGGATGCCACTCCACGCAGATTTGTGTAACTGTTGTGGCACGTTCTGGCTGCTTCTGCGGCCCCCAAGCTAGTGATGCGAACTGAATGGGTCTCAGCCAAGCTGGTCCGATCAAAGTGGCTTCCATATGTACATATGCATGCATGTATGCATATACATATAGTGTCGATTTGGCGGAACAGTTCGTGTCACGCTCTTCTGATGTAACTGGTATGTACACATGTACATACATACATATGTGTACCTGGATATGTACTTTGTGCACTTTGCGCCCCTTTTTCTCGTACTGCTGTGGCTCTTGACACTGCCGCTGCATTTGCGACGTCTCTGTCTCTGTGTACCTTTTCAAAGTCAAGTAATGCAAAAGTAAGTGGCAGTCGGTTATTTGTTTGTTTGCAACCGTATCGGAAGATACTTCGTACGAGACGCGCAACTTACACCGTACCGTACCGCACCGATCTCCGGTTGATCTTCGACAAGCGAATCCGGGTGACCTCTAGTTGCGCCCGAGTCGCGTTCCGGGCTCTCACACGGACAACCTGTGCAGTCATTCTCGATTAGACAAGGGCCCGGGGAGTCTAATCGAGTGCTTATCAATTTCCCATTGTGGCGGACACAGACACCAGTCAGTCCATGACTGCCACTTACCTTCCATAAATAAGGTCATAGCACTTGCAAGGCAAGAAGTATTCACTCCACTCCGCTCCGGGCACTCGGTGAGTCCTCAAGTTAGTCCTCGTGCCAGTTATCTCACTTTGGCAAGCACTATAAACGGAATATTCAGTTTTATCTCGCTAAAATTGGGGAAAAAAGGACTCCACTCATTCTTTAAGTGAGTTCAAATATGCGATCCCCAAAAACCTGCGAAATGCTTTCAATTGGATTGAAAAATAACTAATAATACCAATGGAAATATAATTGAAATAAGTTTATTGCTAAAACCAATTCAATTCCAGCAGCACTTAATTGTGTTCGGAATTCGTTAGTATGTTTTCTGTTGACAAAGATTATTCATGCTCAAAGTTCTTCCACAAAGTTTCTCAACTATTTAATTTTTCAAATACGGGATAACAATATTATTATACTCCGTTGAAATATGCTTCAGTTTGAATATACACAAAAAGTCAAATACAGTTTTGGGGTAACACAAAACAATTTTAAATATAAATCAAATTCCAAATATTTTAGAAAACGTACATAAATCGTGTGCCGATTTTCGATTATTGACAATTTATACAGCGAATCAGTGGAAGAATGTGATGTGCTTTTCATGGATATTTGATTTGAAATAATCAGTATTATCATTATACTTCTAATTACATTCCTAAATGTTTTAAATATTACTTGTAAAGAATGTATGGGTGATGGGATTATTGTGTATCAAATATCACTCTGTTGTTGAAATGGCTTTAGGGCTATCGTTGAATACCTTTCGTACTGGTACTACACTCTGTACTGGATATAACTGATTCGATTTGAAAATATAACGACCGCCATTCGGCATACACAAGACTGCTTCTGACCCACCCATTCGACTCGCCTTGGCGTTCAACCAAGTTGAGCTTTGGCTGTGATCCCTCTCGCCCTTTTATCTGTCCTTCAAGTGAAACCAGAATTGACTATATACCTCTTGCCCATTAAATGACTGCAGATCATACCGCTCTGGATCTCATCATCAAGTCGCTCAAGTCGCCCAGCATGGTGTGCGAAGGCACCCACTTTGATGGCAAGATTCCGCACACATTTGTGATCTTTGGCGCTTCGGTAAGCATTGAATTGGAATGAACTGCGTGAATTAATTGATTATCATTCGTCGTGCTTTTATTTTGCAGGGCGATCTGGCCAAGAAGAAGATCTATCCGACCCTGTGGTGGCTGTACCGAGATGATCTCCTGCCCAAGCCAACCAAATTCTGTGGATATGCACGCTCCAAGCTGTCGATAGAAAAGCTCAAGGAGAGCTGCAAACAGTACATGAAGGTGAGTGTCGCAGCGAACAAAAACAAAAAGAAGTCTTGAGATCCATTCTCACCCTTTATCTATTGAGAACAGGTGCAGGCACACGAGCAAACCAAATATGAGGAGTTCTGGGCCCTCAATGAGTATGTGGCTGGCAGCTATGATGGCCGGACAGGATTCGAGCTGCTCAACCAGCAGCTGGAGCTGATGGAGAACAAGAACAAAGCGAATCGCATCTTCTACCTGGCCCTGCCGCCCAGCGTCTTTGAGGAGGTGACCGTCAACATTAAGAAAATCTGCATGTCTGTCTGGTAGGTAGATCGATTATATTAATGAGAAATTGAATTGAGAATTCAAATGGCTGTTTGCATAGCGGCTGGAACCGTGTGATTGTGGAGAAACCATTCGGACGGGACGATGTCTCATCGAAGGCGCTGAGCGACCATCTGGCGGGGCTCTTTGACGAGGAGCAGCTCTACCGCATCGATCACTATTTGGGAAAGGAGATGGTGCAGAACCTGATGACCATTCGCTTCGGCAACAAGATCCTCAGCTCCACGTGGAATCGCGAGAACATTGCCTCGGTGCTGATCACATTCAAGGAGCCATTCGGCACACAGGGACGCGGCGGCTACTTCGATGAGTTCGGCATCATACGTGACGTAATGCAGAATCATCTGCTGCAGATTCTCTCACTGGTGGCCATGGAGAAGCCGGTCAGCTGCCATCCGGACGATATACGAGACGAGAAGGTGAAGGTGCTCAAGAGCATAGAGGCCTTGCAGTTGGACGACATGGTGCTGGGACAGTATGTTGGCAATCCGCAGGGCAAGACCGAGGACGAGCGTACCGGCTATCTGGACGATGCCACAGTCAACAAGGACTCGAGTACGCCCACCTATGCTCTGGGCGTGCTGAAGATCAACAACGAGCGCTGGCAGGGCGTACCTTTTATACTGCGATGCGGCAAGGCGCTGAACGAACGCAAGGCGGAGGTGCGCATCCAGTACCAGGACGTGCCCGGCGACATCTTTGAGGGTAACACTAAGCGCAACGAGCTGGTCATACGCGTCCAGCCGGGCGAGGCGCTCTACTTCAAAATGATGACCAAGAGTCCCGGCATCACGTTCGACATTGAGGAAACGGAGCTGGATCTGACGTACGAGCATCGCTACAAGGATTCCTATCTGCCGGATGCCTACGAGCGGCTCATACTCGATGTCTTCTGTGGCTCCCAAATGCACTTTGTCCGCTCCGACGAGCTGCGCGAGGCGTGGCGCATTTTTACACCGATTCTGCATCGCATCGAAAAGGATCACATACGGCCGCTCTCCTACCAGTACGGATCGCGTGGACCCAAGCTTGCGGATCGTAAGTGCGAGGAGAATAATTTCCAATACTCGGGATCATACAAATGGCACGGCAGCAAGGGCACTAATCACTGAGCGGCTCGTCGTCGTTTATGGTAGAATCTTTTTCATTAATTAATTATCATTTGAAGACACATACTCTCTCTCTTTCTCTATTTAATTTACTTACTATTATATACAACGAGTATACACTATGCTGTACATAGTTCTCTCTTATGTATATGTATTCTTTGGTTATTTTTTTAATTTTTTCTTATGGTCTGTAGGAGCACATGCAACTTTTTGTTTGATTTATAAATAATATACAAGATAACAGAAAAAAAACAAACTGAGGGCTTAGCCCATGACTCAATCGATTCCTGCGATCTGCTGCAAGTGATTCATTCAACCACACGCCTGCAGCGGGTCTCAGCTATCCCAATCGGAAAGATGGAGCCTTCATATAGCCATTGGCCATGGTCTCTAAATTATTAAACCCAAGTTGCATATATCCCTGCACACTATCGTTTTTACTCTCCCTCTCCCTTTGTGATATTGTGGATGGCATGAGGAGGTAGCCGTCTGTGGGTGTTGCCCTTATGTCTGTATCAGTCTCAATCTCAATCTGAATGGGTGTAATGTCATCATCTATCGTACACGTTCTCCCACTTACATCTGGCATCTGGTTTGTCTCAGCTTTCACCACAACAGCAGGCAGTGTGCCTGCAAGGGCAATCCAAGGTTTAACAGTGCCAGTCACTGGCACCGGCTTGCTAAACGCTTTTGTGTGCTCTTTGGGTGGTTCCATTACCACCAGTTGTATCCCCGAACTCGTCTGTTGGGATGTGTCTTTGGGGTCTGCTGTATCATCATCATCATCTGCTGGCCCATCCGTTCGCGTTCGTTGGGGCTTTCCCTCATCGTCATAGACGCCATTGGGGAACTCAATGCCAATGCCCGAACATCTGTGAAGTTTTCGGTACGAGATGAAGATAAGGCAAAGCACGATCAGGGCAACAATGCCCTCCAGATACCGGCTCCTGCCTGGGTCAGCCTCTGTGGGCAGTCCCACCCTCAACCACGTCATGCCGCCGCTGTCCACTTCGTCCCGATAAGTGGCCGCCACGCCCAAATTGATCAACTCCATGGATCTATCGAAGCGATGCTCCTGCCGGCCAGCATCCTCCAGCTGCAGCAGTTGCATTGCCTGCGAATCGTCACAAATCTTTTGTGTATCATTGACGGGGGAGCACCAGTAGACGGTGTAGTGCAGCAGGCCGGAGCTCTTCCCTGGCGCCGTCCAGCTCAGGGTGTGGCTTGTCTTGTCGTACTTCAGGGCCTGCGGCTGTCGATCCTCGCCACCGTCCATTATGGGCACATACAGATCGCTGCAATTCAGCGACCTTCCCTCGGAGTTTTCACTGTACACGGATATGGTCGAGTCCCTGGAGTCGTCCCACTGGGGAAAGACGGCAAAGTTCCGGCCAATGGGACTCGCCTCCTTTCTCGCGAAGCTGTTCGAATGGAGCGAATAAGAAATGGATGGCCAACCGCAAAAATAGGCCAGACGAAAAGCTTACCCGTCGCTGGCTGTGAGGCTGTAGGTGAGATTGGGAGCGTTGTGCTCCAACGACAGCAGCGGCTCCCAGAAGATGTACAGTCCCTGGGACCTGGGATCGAGAAAGAAGCCATTCGGCAGGAGTCGCGGCGGCCTGCTGGGTATAGCTTTGGGCACTAACAACTGACGCATTATCGTCTCACTCCACGGCGCCTCCGACAGGTTGAAGCGGCGTCGCAGGCGCAGCTCA